AACCATCCACGACTCAGCGCGGGGGTATGATCATGTTAAACGCAGCAATCTTGGCTAGTCCTGAAGAATGAGATGGACGTTGTTGGTTTAAATCAGGAACCAAGGTAACTATACAGAATACAGAGAAACTGAATTTGCTAATGAACTGAGTAGATGCGCAATCATTACTATTTGCAACACTCAGTAATGAGACTCATTATCTCTAATTATCGGTGTGACCGATCCCGAGGTCCCCAACCAAGTTGCCTAAGGATATCTATTTGTCCGATTCCCCTTTGCTAGAATTTTCCTATTCTTATATCCGGTTTTACTTCGGCAATCTCTCGCATTACCTGTCTCGGCAAACGTCGCACGCCGAGTGAGCCCATGTGGCGACACGCGTAAAACACCAGTGTAACCTGTGGAGGTAGAGCACTTGCTCCAGTGAGTGACCGCGATTACTTGAAACTCTGCGCCTAACTTCAGCATTGCTTGTCCTTTGCCACACCAAACTCCAGCCATGCGGCCTACAGAGCAGTGTTCGAACACCAATGGTCTGTCTGTGTCCTGTTCCCATAACGGCCATATCTCTGCACAGTATGGAAGAACCGGCTGCACAACTACAGCATACACTAGACCCTTCACGGGCAACCGAATGTTGCGGTGGAACCATATATGTCTGAAGTTCTCCAACGCGAACCTAGTCTTCTTTATGTGTGCCAACAGTTCATCCCCGATGCGTCTGCCAGATAACGTGGCTACTTAAAGAATGTTTGTTTACTTTTTCTGTTACAGTCCCTGAGGTTGAAGTAGACTAATCCCGTAAAAACATTTTACAATCCAGAGGCTTCAAATGCATACCAAACACAATCACGCTAACACTGAAGCCAGTTAGAAAAAAATTCAACTTTGGGACGCGAAACCTGGGGTTAGTCAAATGAAATGGATGAGTAGGTGATGTGTGCGAGACCTATAAAGAAAACCCAATGGAGAGGTACATGGGAGGTAGGTCGAACAAAAACCAAAGTAGTAAGTGTAGGAAGAATATTAAGAAGGGATTACTAGATGATAAACTATTGGCTACAAATTTTTATTGGCTGGTAGTTAATGACTCCTTATGCATACCCGATCAATATGGGTATGCGATCGAGCTTCACTCTACACATGACTGTAGTTGAGCCCTAATGTCGGTCGTAACCTGAACTTCCACTAACACCACCAGTTAAGGATGTAATGTTTAAATCCTACTCGAACTTATCTGCAAGGAAACACAGCCAACAACCTTTGTAGCTATCAAGTCTCGTATTATGGGTGTAGGTAAAAAGTGCAAATAACACATCTAAGATGAAATATTTCACAGCTTAATTTTCTTAGACTGGTCAAAATCTTCGACTCGCGTAGACTAATTTTGTCTGTCCTGGTCATGACAAGAAAGAAGTTCACTCTGAATCAGACACTGACCAGCATTCAGTCCTCGGTATGCATTCGATTGAAGAGATAAACAGTAACCGGAGGGCCAACAGTGTGTAGAAGGATGATGGAACACTTGTTCTGCCATTGTTGATTTCTGATTTAACCCAACAAGATCGTGGAAGCTGTTCAGCGCTTTCCAGTTTTTCTGTCTACGTTTGCTCTGCTCGGAATATGACGAAATTTTCCGCAGTACTCATTGAAGGTTGTTTGGTGTGTTTTGTTGTTCAATATCACAATGATAAAATTAAGTGTTTTTTAATGGGTAAGCAAAATTCCTAACAATTCCTGAACAAGTTTTATCATGATTTCTTTTTTTCATGTTACTTTTATTTAATATACCAAGATGCAAATTTAAGGAAGGAGGAAACGGCCAATCAAAAGGCTGCCATGCAACACACAATGGGGGAAGTCAGGCGGTGGTGGTGGGATTCGAACACATCCCTGGGGTGATAATTTGGTGACGTTACCACCGGGCCACCACCGCCCCGCTAGTCAGCTCGAACAGAATGCTTCTCTTCAAGTCGTTTCAGTACGCAGCTATGCTAGCTCCATTAGGCCATGTATATGTTAAAGGTTTCACGATCCTATAGATACATATTGGTGTTGATGTTACTTTCCTCCTAAGTTGTCACCACTAACCCGAATTCTGTTGCTGTGGATCTGGTTCATAACGCTGTGATTGCATGACGCCTTTGTTACTGTTACTGTTACCCTGGTAATGACACCTCACCGGACCCATAGCTACACTACGAGGACGACTGTAGTAAAAGTTGGTAATCGTTTTTTATGATGTCAGGATTCATGAACGCTCCCTTCGATTGGATTAGCTGCCTGGGTCGTCCTCCACCCTTGATCGCAAAACTTTAAAGGTTTAGGGAATTTTTTCGTAGATCTTGATCGTTTTCACTGAGTTATAACACTCGGGATGTCCATTGAAACTGATGTAGAAAATTCGTGATGAGAACGGTTAAGAAAGTAAGGACTATGCATTTCCTGATTCCACATTACCGTCTTTTAAAATCAGGTGACTGTGTAACTTACACTTTCTCTTTCCGTGCACAGACTGCAACGCCATTGGTACGCCCCCGAGGTGCCTTCACGAGACGTCGCGCAGTAAGCTTCAGTCAGTCACATGTGCGCGGTCCCAGTCACGGAAGTAGATTTGGTCCGACTGTAGCTCGGAGCACAGAAAACATGCACCATGCTTTTTCGCGTCAACCCCGGCGTAGTAGTGAAAGTTTCTCATTTTCCTCAGACGATCATCCATCGTCTAGCGCGGGTTTTGTTCTATTCAATGGATCATCGCTATCCAATCTCTTGGATCCAGACAAAGATGAGACAGCATCCATAGGACCGTTTACCACGCTGAAGCTGGATACTATGCTGCCAGATCTACATTTGTCGGACTCTTCTGGGCTGGCACAACAGTCATTCTCACTTACATCGCCCTTGGTCATCAGTCCGAATCAGACACACTTCCCACGCCCCGTTCTTGCCTTTGAACCTTTTCCTGTTCATCTGCCACGACGCACTCGAGATAGAGCCGCCTCCGGCGATTCAGGTTACTCGGGTAGAACCAATTTGCTGTCTACCGGTGCTGTGATCGATGCTTCGTCGTCCATTGCTGCCACTACTGCCTGGTCTGACGCTAGCCTTTCTCATTCGGGATTACACACTTCAGGAATAATCAACACTACTGCTGTCCAACCGCCGCCGCCTCCACCAGCACCATTAGCAGTGGCGCACATCGATTTGTCGTCCGCTACTACTCTGGTTCACCCAGGATTTTCCGGTGGTTCCGTATCGTCGCTTGTGGACTACTCTGTACCTGCTTCTCCTATCGGTCCACCTGTACTGTTTCAGCATCAATTTAGCATGCCAGGCAGTAGTCATTCAATGCAAAATTCTTGCGCAAATGAGCTGATGAGCCACTGGGCTAGCGTTGGACACTGGAACCACGGTTGGGGTCATACTCCCGGAGTTCGAGTAGCTCCGGTCTTGCCGCGTCGCAGACGAAATCTCAGTGAATCCAGTGATTTGGATTTTGATGAGGACTATCGTGTGAACGGCAATTTGTTGCACCAACTGATGCATGAAAATCACAAACCCAGCTGTGCAGATCATCCGACCAATTTGGATCAAGAGATTGGGCAATCTATTCTGGGCCAAGTAAGCTTGTGCATGTGAATGATAGAGCCACGGAAGAGCCAGGCACTAATCATTGAGTACCTATTCACTGTTTTCCTAGAGTATGGAGACAGTTCGTTCAGTTTTTTGTTCGGTGGTTTTCACGTGCTATCTTTATTAAAGTTGAAGCTATAGGTACAAAGTCAATTCTATTTAGTTTATTTCCACGTGATAACTTGAATCTGCCATCAGAGTTTGGCAAGTGAATTGCGCATGTTATTCAGTGTTGTCATTTCTAGGATACCTAACCCAATCTATTTGACACCTCCGCACTTTGCGCAGCAAGTCATTTTCAAGCCTCGTATTCTACCGTCTTTACTGAGGGTTGCACACTGAGATAATATATTCGGAAACATGCAGAACACATATCCCCATATGTGTTCTTTTCTCTAGCCCCTGGGACGAATTAAAACACCAATCCAAGAGCAATGCACTTGGTTTAATTCAGGTTTTACAACAATTAACTGTGCACTTTCGTGCACCAGTTTTGATTGCTATCTCACGACTTCCCATTTGGATGAAGGAGTAAAGAATGTTCAAATCAGTATGAGAGTCAAGCTAAAGAATTCATGAAAGCTAAGGTTCCAGGGTTGATGATTGGATGCACGAGCGCCATTGTTTATATCACGGAAAATACACTCAATTTTTGTATAGTAGTTGGTGTATTACTGTTTATTCCTTGGACCATCCACTGAACCAGTCAACCACCCAATTCGTAACTGAGGCTTGATGCTATGGACTTCATTCAGGTCGTTGATCGAAGAGTGTTGTTCACAAAGAGGTGGTATGCAGTTGACACAATGAACTTGCACAATGCACTACTTCGCCAACCGGAGGAGTTTTCCGTCATTTTTTTTATTGCACAGTGTGAATTACAGTAAAAGAGGAAATCCCCATAGACAAAAGGGGGAGTAGGGGAGCATTCACGTAAGATCCAGTTTACTGATTCTGTGTTTAAAAACTGTAGGATTGTAATTTAGGAAAACAGCAAGTGGGAGGATGTTCCACGGTTTGGCAGTTCGGGGAAAAAAAGAAGATTGAAGCAGAGAGGTACGACATCTGGGAACACAAACCTGATAAGGATGGGCCTGTGTACGGGATGGGCGGGTAAAAGTTGCAGGAAGAGGAACTGCCGAGGCAGGTTCCGAAGAGCAAAAACCAAAGTAGTAGCGGTAGAACAAGGACAATGAAGCAACTGCCCGACGATGGGCTAACGACTGTAGACTGGACGGACCATCGATTGGCCGGATGGCCTTTCGTTGCACATGATCAAGAAGACGTAAAATAGGAGCCAGATCGGGAGCACACATTTTGAGGACGATGGGTGGAATACCGTCCAGGCCGGGTGGTGTTTGCGTTTAGAGAGTGCAATGTTTGACGGATTTTCCTAGTGCTAATGTGAGGTAGAAGAGGATTGCCAATGAAGAAGGAGGAAGATGGAGGTATACAGAAATGGGGTAAGGTGGAATTGGCGGCAAACTGGGAAGCAAAAACCTCGGCTTTCTCGTGTGGTTGACATACAAGATCACCAAAGGAATCACAGATAGGGTGAAGTTGGAAGGGCAGAGATTACGAGAGTTTGCTTTGACAAGGGACCAACATGTTCGGCTACCAGTGGTGGATGAGACCAAGTTTTCGGTTTTGCGGCGAACGAAGCTTTCCTTGGTTCTCTGAGTGGTCGCTGAGCATCTGTTCCTAGCTTGCACAAAGCGAGAGGGGGTGGGCGAGCGGCGGAAGACTGAACGTTTGAGGCGTACA